TCTGGACTGCGTGAGTGCGAGTATGCGCGTGCACTCCTTGGCAGCCATGTTTCATTGCTTGAGCCCATGGCCGACTCGGAGCTTTGATTGGGGCTCAGCTTCGAACAGTGCGATGCGAGTGCAAACGTGGCCAAGAGAGATTGACATATATGCAGCCATCGGTGCTTATGAATGTATGAGTACAAACACCGATTGTAGTAGATGTAAGCGCGTATGAATCGCATGGGCAGTAGCATGTAGCAATGTATGGGCATCCAAAGGTTCACGCGGCCTTCCGCCCACTATCCAGGGTAGTCGTGGGAAGGGCAAGCAGCGCATATCTAGACGTGGAAAGCTGAAGGGGGCGAATCTTTGACAATGAGGCGCGTCTCAGAAATGTTTGCACGCGGCAGTCGGATATAGCAGCAGATCCCGAATCAGCAGGGCCCAAGGTGGGGGGCCAGGCCCATGGGGGTTCAGAGAGCGGGCCCACGGTCTGCAGGGGGATCGGGGAGTAAGTCCAGCATCTTGGGACACATCCAAGAGTCGATTTAACATCTGAGAGGGGGGTCGGGGAGCGGCCCCCGGATCTAGGGGGGGATCAGGGGGCCGCTCCCGGATCCAGGGGGGGGGCAGGGAGCCGCTCCCGGATCTAGGGGGGGGGGGGGGGGGGGGTCGGGGAGCCGCTCCCGGATCCAGGGGGGGGGTCAGGGGGCCGCTCCTGGATCCAAGGGGGGGGGTCAGATGGGGTCGGGGATATCTCCAGGGCTGGTGAGCGTCGCAGGCTCCATCCTCTGTCTGACCCCTTATTTGTGCAAGCGATTGCTACATGTTGCGCTCGATTGGTGTCGGCAGTCGCCTTCGGCGGGGGAATTGCGTCCAGCTGACAGCATGAGCGCGTCATCTGTGCTGTGCCTCGCGGTGGTGCTCGCTCTGGGCGAGTGCGCTGCCTTCGGTAATGTGTTGCGCATTCGTTCTCTCCGAGTTCTGTCTATCTGAGGCGCGCGGTCGTCGCTCATGTCGGTTTGCGCGTTTGGTTTGCAACATTGATGGTGTATCCGAGTTGTGGCTCAAGTCCTAATCATGCACCGTGCTAGTGGCGAGGGCAATGAGGTTGCCGCCCACGTCGATGCAACTTGGGTGCGTAAGTCTTGGGCAATGGAGGTTTCCAGAGCTACACGACCAGTGATAGTGTTGGAGCTGCGTTGCGGGTTAAAGTCTACCCAGCGGGCTGCCCAGGAATTGGGGATTGCGTGGGAATCCACTGGGGACCGACGGGATCGATGCTAATCCATCCAGATGTCTCCATCCTGGCGCGCTCTTTATCCTACTTCATCACATCTTCATCCTTCCTCTCCTAGTCCCTTCCCCCTCCTCCCTTCCCCCCTCCTCCTCATCATCATCCTCAACCTCCTCTCCTCCCCCATTTACCTCAGTCTCTCTCGCCTCTCTCTCCTCTCGCGCCTCCTCCTGGAACATCCAGTGCCCTTGGGGGGATTATGATATCAACGTCGGGCTCAAGAGCGCGCTGATCGATCTCGTCGGCGACTCCGATAAATTGCACATGGGGGGACGGACTGGCGACGTAACCAAGACACCCCTGGGCAACTACGACCTTGCAACTGATGGTTGCGTTGCCGGTTCCCCATGCCCACCACATTCGTCGATGGGAAAACGGTTGATCGACTTAGACGCCAGAGCTGCTGTTGGCGCGGCAGTCCTTCGAATCATATGTTACCTTGCCAACAAAGGCAACCTTGCTTGGTTTGTCTTAGAGAACGTTTTCGGGATTCTGACAAAGAGAAAGGCAGACAAGGATGGGCAATCGCGGGAAGTGAGGAACGCAACGAGGTAAACACATATATCGCACTCGCATGTTCGCACGCTTCCGTGTATGAGTTACATCCAATCATTGTAGGGTGCAGTGGTGGATAATGAAAGCTTTGGTAAATGGGAGGGGGGAGGGCGGGGGGAAAGTTATGGACAACGGGTGCAGCGTGAACTCCTCGCTGGCTTACCCGCTGGATGGTCGGTGCAGGTGCTGAGGATGAACAGCATCGATTGCATGTTGCCTCAGAGTCGAGAGCGAGCTTTCTTCAGAAGAGGGGCGGGGCTATCTCATGTTCTAGCATGTGTGGTGGGTGCGTGCTGAGTGCGAGCCCTGAGGCGTTTTGCTTCCTCTATGTCGCATTGGGGGGCTCTCTTGCCTATTCACATTGCCCTGCTCTGTTTTCTGATTGGGAGCGGCAGGCGCTGCGCCGTGGCTGAGAGCGACACCTTTACAGAGGCGCATGATCAATGCAGATCCGCCCCCGAACCCGCGAGTCAGTATCTTGAAGTTCTTGGACAGGACGTCTGCGGATGCTTTCCAACATCTGAGTTTGAAGCAACAGATGGACGTCATGGCCCAGATGGAGGCCAGCCGAGACCACTTTGTGGCAGATGTTGATGCTTGCGAGCACATTGGTATTGTGGATGCAGCGCGGGATCCAGACAAGACCGTCGAGAGCAGCATCCCATATGGCAAGACGCGAACGCTTCGAAAGGGACATGCAGGGTAGGAGTAGCGCCGCAGAAGGGATTCCTGGAAAATCACTTGGAGCGGAAATGCAGGCAGCGGTAGGAAGCGCCCGAGCAGGAAGGACACAGTGGGGGCGGTGGCCCGATGCACGAGCATCCATTGCGCTGCAATGCGAACATCACGTTGACATCGGAGGAGATGGAGGGGGAGCAGGCGGAGGAAGGAGAGGACAACCGAAGACTCCCCGAGCTATTCTTATAAGGTCCCCCCACGTTCTTCCACCTCGCTCTCGCCCACCTCCTCCTGCGCCCCTCCTTCCTCCCTGTCGCTTGGCAAGCTTCGGCAAGGGAAGGGCGAACTGCGCGCATCTCTGGATTATGCCCTGCGACCGCGTGAAGCACATCTTCGGGGAACGTGGCAGGGTCGGGCGCCGGGCAGCGCGTTGCTTCGATGGCAGAGAGAGAGAGCGTGCGAGTGGAGAGATACGAGAGACAAAGGAGTAGAGGGAGAGAGATACACAGAGACATGTGTATATGTGTACATACATGCACGTACACACATACATGTATAGCGAGGCATGGGTATACTGAAAGGAATGTTGATAGCATTACGATGAGCAGCCACGGGGAATATATTTTTTTTGCTGTGTTGCATTCGCATGTTTGCTGGCAATTCACAGTACTTCTGTGTTCAATTCACATGTGTGCGATGCGTGATTGTCCATTCACATGATTGTTGCGTTGCATGTTGCATGAACCCCTCCTGGCAGGTAGCAGAGCAAGATGACTGCAGCCACCGTGGCTTAGCAGAGTCACAACAACGTATATATGTACATGTGTATACATCGTTCAAGACATGTACAGATGACCTCACATGGATAATCTATGTATATGGAGAGAGAGAGAGAGAGAGAGAGAGAGAGAACGAGAGAGAGAGAGATATAGAGAGCGACGATAATGCCATCATGATAATCATAAGCAGCATGTCTCGTAGATTCTAGGGCGAGGCCCATAGATGTTCGACTCGATGAGGGTGGATAGAGCAAGCATGCTGATGGGCGATGTGCACTTTGGGAAAAGGCGCCGTGGCATTGATGTCCAACGGAACATAATATACACTCTGAATGTTCTCATACCCCGATGGGGGTAAAGCGTTTGCGAGGCCAAATTTGAAAGCAACTGCGCAGGGGGGCGGAGGTTGTTGAACCGCAACGAGAAGGCGAGGATATCTGGGATTGCGCCAGACACCCTGCGGAGCATGACAAATGATGAGGTAGACACTGCACTTGGGAATGCCATCCCTGTGGGTCTGATAGGTTGCGTTATGGCACCGGTGCTCGTGGCTTGGGCCAATGCGCAAGTCAGAGAATCGCGTAGAAATCAGGGCGATGCAAGCAGCTGACCTTTTGAACTTTTTAAGGCGCCTATCGATTGCAGTGTGACTTGAATGGGGGAGTAGGGAGGACGGAGGAGGATAAGGATTGTCGCATGCTGCCGTTATTTCGTGTCTTTGAGCATGCATATGCTACTGAATGTTAGCCCCAGGCCTGGTAGCCCATTGGTCAGCGAGGCTCGCTCACGCATGTCCTTACATTAAGTGTTTAGCTAGTTGATCAACGTTTCTGAACGACACGATGCGCTCGTTGTCCAGAACATGCGTCGCTGGAAGAAGGCAGGGGGCTCTGACGTTCGGGGCGGAGGGCGTTTGGTCGAGCGGCCGATGCCGTATCTTGGTGACAGTTACAGTGGTGCATCAGATATGCTTCTTCGCCGTCGTCTTCCTCCTCACCTTGTTAACTCCTCCTCCTCCTCCTCCTGCCCATCATCCCCATCCTCCTCTTCCTCTTACTCATCGCTTCCCCTCTTCTGGTAGAGATGTGGATCTTGGCGTCTACATGGTCGCACCTGTTCTACCGCTGTAAGCGTTTTTGGCTGAGTGCGCATCGGATTCGGACTATCGAACGAACGTTCACACGTTTGGCTGCTTTCCTACTCTCTGGCACCGCTCTGTGGCCATGGCGTCGGCGACGCCGACCAAGGAGGGGCTGGGCTGATGGCTTCTAGAAAAGGCATGCCACGCATTTATTAGTGATTCGCACTTTGAGCAGTAGGAATATGTTAGCACGGCACGCGAACCCGCACATAGCTTGATTCAATGTATAATGCATGCATGCTTCATGAAGCACTCTACTGAGTCGTGGCGTTTGATCAGGGGTTCGGGAGGGTACTGGGACATCTGCGCCGACTGCGTCGCCGGGCACTCCAAGCGCCGATGGCATGCTAGCGATGGTGATGCCAGGGCTTACAATGTGCCCATGCGTTCACTTTCAAGAGATGCGTCCATCATCGGAGTGCGGGGCTTGGTCCAAAAACCAAAAGTGCTGCAACGATTGCAAGAGCAACTGCAACCGGCAGACGGAGAGGGCCAAGAAAGACCCTGCCTTTAAAAAATGGTGGAAAGACGGTCTCTCTTCCGACGAGCGGGCGCAGTGGCGCAAGAGGAACAAGGGCAAAACGCAGAAAGGCAAGCAGCGCCAGTTCGACAATGCTGGGTTGCACGAGCAGGCGAATATTCAGGGCCATGGGAAGTCTTCGGACGACCTTTACCGCTACATACCACTGGACTTGAGGGTCTCAAAAAACTGGGGACTGCTTCCACTCTCCCTCCTTCTTCCTCGGCGATCACTCCGCCGACTGATCCTCCTCCTCAGACCAGGTGTCTTCCCCTCCCTTCGTCATTCCATTCAGCCCCTGCTTCAGTCCTCCCTCCCCTCCCTTCTGAACTTCTGATGCCACTCCGCCTCCCACTCCTACTGCTGCTGCTTCCCCCCCCCCCTTCTGTAGAGATGTCTCAGGAAACGAGAAAGGCCCCCCCCCCCCCTCCCACCCGCGCAGGACGAATGGATCATCCGGGAGAGGGCGCTAGGCAACTGCGAGGACGGGGGCGCGGAGGAGCAGAGGAAGAAGGCCATCAACTCGCTCGCCGACAAGATCAAGGACAAAGACGCCCCCCAAAGAAAGCGCGGCAATCAGTGGTTGATCGGCGTGTTCGCGGGATTGGAGGATAGAGATTCACAGTTCCAGAGGGCGGAGAACTCTTGGAAGCGGCAGAAGACGGTGGAAACCGCTGCTGATCTCAACCAGGCGCGTCAGTTAGCCTCCTCTGCGGCCGCTTCCTCATCGAAGATTCACGCTGAACATCAGGAAGCGAACCGCGCAAAGCTCTACCAGAGTGAGCCCCAGCCCGAGATCGCTGAGCACCTGGTCAGGCCTTGCATCAGGGAGAGCGAGATGGACTGCGACGACGACGACATTGCCTACGAGATGCAGCGGGGCATCGCGGCTCAGGAGGACCGGTATGCGAAGCTCGCTGAGGAAGGAGATCATGATGAGCATCTGGCTCAGCAAGCTGCGCGCGTCAGAAAGCAACAGGCGCAGTTAGCAATCAAGACGGCTGGGCGCCCCAAGAAGGTCAAGTCGGAGATCTTGGTTGATTTGCAGAAGCTGGTCCGCGACCGCTGCCAGATGGTCAAAGATGCAAAGGAGAAGCTCGAGAGGTCAAAGGCGGCCGCGGAGGAGGAGACCCTGGCATTCTTTGGTGAGAACCCACCAGGCGAGGCCAAGAGGCTCACGACGAAGTTCGACGAGGAGTACAAAGGCTACATGGACCAGCTGGATGAGCTCTACAAGACGATCCACGAGACAGACCTTGACACGCTGCTGGCTCCTGAGGAGGTCGAGCTCGCGGATGTCAAGAAGGCTGCGGTCGACGAGACGAAGGATAAGTACCGCGAGATCAAGGGCAAGGCCGGGAAGGCGGTCGGCGCCTACAAAAAGGGCGCGAAGAGGATCCAGAAGACCTTCAAGAAGCCGGACTCAGGCTCCGAGCCCCCTGCACTGACGAAGAAGCTGCGGGAGGTCGGCGGGGGCTGAATTACAGAAGCCCGCCTGAAACGGTTCCTATTCATATTGTTATCCATGGCATTCATCCTTCTCAGAATCCCTCCTCATCAACTCCTCCTCCTTCTCCGCATGTTCCTCCTTCTCCCCATCCCTCACCTCTAACTCCTCCTACCTCCTACCTCCTCCTCCTCCTCACCTCGTCCTTCTTGTCCTCCTCCACTCCCTAGCTCCACATGCGAGCGCGCGTCCGCATCCACCTCCACCCCCACGCCACTTTAGCTGGCAGGGGGTCGGCTGGGGAAAACTTCATATGTGATTCAAAAATACCACGCAGGTGGTTAGCGGTCTTGCCGCTGATCCTCAATCCGGCGCGGCTTCAGTGGAGAAGCCTGGCGACGACTACAACGGCAACGTGGTGCTCATCAAGGCCGACGACGCCTTCGAGGCCAGCCTTTCGCCGACGCATTCCCAGATGGGCGCGCGCGACAAGTTGATGCTCAAACGGTTGAAGGACGGCGTGACCTCGGGCGCATCGCACTACAAGCCCGCCCTGGCGAAAAAGGTCGAGGAGAGCATCTGCGCGCACCACCCGAAGGTGCAGCAGTTCAGGCCGCGTCCCCTGCGCGGCGGCGCGGCGAGCCTGAAGAACGAGATCTTCGGCTTCCAGCACTGGTCCATCAACGAGTCCCAATTGTTCCTTGGGCCCAGCTCGTTTGGCGTTGGCGAGTGCCGCATGCTGTGCGAGGGTGCCCTCATTGTCGCAGGAGTGCTGACCTCGGAGTTGCCTGGCAACAGCCTGCGCGAGAAGATTCAGACGGCCTTGGCGCCCGCGGGCAGCGAGACTTTTGTCAACCTCGTTAAGGACCCTGCCAAAGGCTTCCTTTGCGTGATGGATGATCCCCTCTGCGTCCTGTGCGCCCCAAACAAGTACATCGTTGCGACGGCTCCTTGTTTCGACCCGAATGATCCGACCATGGGAGCTCGTGGCATCCGCTGGGGCCTGATGCCAAACACTCCAGAATGCATCAACCAGACGAAGGCCAACCTGGAGGGGCTGTGCGAGACCTACGCGGCGCTGGCGGATAACCATGACTTCGCTGCCTTTTCTGGAGTTCGTGGACGGCTTCCTCGTGCCGGGCGTCCAGGGGGCGCAGGGCCAGCAGCCGGCCCTCGCCAATGGTCCCGGGGCTGCGGAACCAAATGATGCCGATGAGAGCTAGGAGCATCTTTCTCTGAGGCGCCGTCCCGATGCGAGAAATCCTTCTGACCTCGGATGCGTGTGAGTTGTTTTATCAGCAGGGGGGCGCGCCTGGCCATCGAGCATTTTTCATGATGCGTCTGGACGCGCGGGAGCGCGCCTGGCTTTCCGCCGTGTGGCGGACCGACTGTGACGATCGGATCGGGCAGTCGATTTCCGCCATTCGCTTATTTCGGTTATCGCGAGCCGTGAACTCACGTGGATATTTCACGGAGCTTTCTGGCATCAGATGGCCACGGCGCTGGGTCTTTGAGGGAAGGCGAGATGTCCACACAGAACACAGGGGAAGGAGGAGGAGGAGGAGGACGATGCAGGCAGGGATGGTGCTTGCTGTAGTCCCGTTCGCATGTGTTTCCGAGGACTTCAGCGCGTTGCTGCGCTAGAGACGACGCGGTCGTGGGGCCGGCAGCGCACAAGGTATCGTTATCGTCAGAGTGGTCGTCATCTACATCAATCGCCATCATCGCCACCATCCTCATCCTCAACCTCATCATCCTCACTTTTACAACCGTCGTGGCACTAATTCTCTGCTGCTTGATGTCTGTCCTTCACCCGCTCCCGTCCCCTTCCCCTCTCTGGGCACCTATTCATGCTGCTATGTCCTCCTCGTCCTCCCGCTTCACTTCTGGTTCCTCCCGCTGCTATTGCCGCGACTCCTTTCCAGCCTCGCTTCCTGCTCTTACTCATCCTTATGTTCCTTTCCTTCTCCGTCTTTCCCTACCCCGTGATCTTTCACTTCCCACCCCCCTCCAACCCTCCAACCCTCCAGGGCCAGAGGGACAGCACTTAGTTCTTGGGAGGTGAGTTTTGTGGATGTCTTGTTTCGCTTCCTCTGCGGGGGGGCCACAGGTGCGGCTTGCTCTACACCCATGGGCCTTCTGCTCTTTAAACGCGCTCAAACCGACTTCGCCTTAGATGGTGGTCGAGCCTGCGGTGTGGCTGCCAGCCGGGGGGGACAGGCGCGCGGCGGAATGGTCGCTCCTCCTCTGCGCCCTTTCCACAGTGCTCCCTGGCGCTCTTCGTCTTCCTCGTCGTTGTACTCCTCCTCTTCCTCTCCCTCCTCTTCCTCCTCCTCCTCCTCCTCCTCCTCCTCCTCCTCCTCCTCCTCCTCCTCTTCCTCCTCCTCCTCCTCCTCCTCCTCCTCCTCCTCCTCCTCCTCTTCCGCCGTTTACTAGGATGGAAGCGATAGCGGCCACAGCCAAAATGGCAGTGGGCCAAGACTGCGCGCGTGCATTAGTGGTAACAGCCACAGCCAAAATGGCACTAGGCGCAGATAGCGCGCGAACCAATATTTGGTCACCGCTTCGACCTGGGGGGGGGGGCAACTGCCAAACAAGTACTCCCCCTCAACGGTTCCAACAGAACCTGCGACGCAGCGGTGCTGCGCGCGATGAACGGATCCCTTTGTACATTACTGCACGTCCTGGTAGAGCAGAATCCAGGAATCGTCGTGTTACGCATCACAACATCAGAGTCCCGCAACCACCATAACCAACACGCGGTGCATTCTTACATAACCATGCGCACTTGCATCGGCACAGCCAGGCACTATTCCTGGTGGTGGTAGGCAGTGTATATATTTATACATGTTAATCCTAAAATAATGAAAGGTTTGGGGGGTCCAGGAGAAAAGCGTATCCTAACGGGGAGGGGTAACTCCGCCCGATGAAAGGGTCTGCAAGATGGGATCCTTTCAACAATCGGCGGCGAGCGAGGGGGGAAAGTGAGAAGGAGAAGGCTTTCTCAGAAGGCGGCGGGACTTTTCAGAAGCCCTCGCGCCTTCTCAGAAGTTTTCTGCGTCTTCGGGGAAGGCTCAGAAAGCTTTTCAGAAGGCCAAGGTACTTCCGAGCCTTCTGAAATGGCATTATCCTTCTCACTTCCCCCCTGGATTCGCCGCCGAATGATCCCACGCCCGGAGGGCCCAGGGGATCGGAGGAGGAGGAGGAGGACGCGGACCAGTGCGAACTCCAGACTCATCAACGATATTGCAAGAAGTCGTCCCTTCAAGGACCCTCTTCACATGCTCCTGCAAGGATTCATGTTCACTGAGGAAAGTGCCCCGTTGGAGGATAACCGTTTGAAAATCTTGAGCTGTGCCAGAACACCCTTCCTGGGGCTTCGACGCCGCGGATCTCTGTAACTGATGCGTTTTGACCAGTTGGAATCCTGGCAGAACACAGTTCTTTGGACTTCAACACCGCGAACCAACGTAATTGTTGCGCCCTGACAGTCCGACATCGTGCCAAAACATGTTTTTTTCGACGCTCACTATGAGAGTCCTGGCAACTGCTGTAAGCTCTAAGGACACATGTGCGCGGCGCTGAGACGATAGCCATATTTTCGAAAACCACCCGCCCTCCCTCTGTGAAACTCTTACAATTTATGACGAATGTGCGCGACGCTTGGGCGAGAGCCACATTTTGAAAACCACACGCCCTCCCTGCGTAGTCCATGCAATCTGTTACGATGAATATGCCCGGTGCGAAGGCGAGAGCCACATTTTGCAAACCACCCGCCTTCCATCTGTGAAACCTCTTGCATGTTTTACGATGAGTGTTCGTTGTGTTAAGGCGAGTGCCACATTTTGAAAACCACTCCCCCTCCATCCGGAAAGCTTTTTGCAACTGGATAAAACGAATATGCGCGGCGCGAATGCGATAGTCACATTTTGAAATTGGCCCGCCTTCCATCCGTGAAATTGTTGCAATGTTTTCAGTTTCAGGCTCGAAAATGGTGAGGGCGTGCGCCAGGGAGGAGTTAGTTGTAAGAACAAGAATGGAGGAGGAGTAGGGTTGGGATCGCTCTGCTTCGGACCGAGCTCGTTGATTTTCTTTTTTCTTGCGTTGTTCTCACCTGTGCATGCATCGTCGCTGCGACTCATGTGGTCTCCAGGGATGTGCGCAGTAGGAGGGGGAGGAGGACCTGAGTAAGTCCAATAATCATCAACGATGCTGCAGTACACCCTCCCGTCCCAAGCTCCCTCCTCATGAGTCCCGATATGCCTCGCGTGTCACTACAGGAGGCGCCCGCAATACACAGTTACTCCGAGCTTTTTTTTCATAAGCCATGTGTGGAAACAGCCACTTGAAAATTCACAATCGTGCCAAAACGCAGTTCCTGGAATTTCAGCGCCGCGGATCAGCGTGACTGCTACAACTTAACAATCTGAAGTCGTGCCAGAGCGTCGTGTTTGGGACTTAGGCTCCGCGCACCAACGCGACTGTTCAGCCCTCACACTTCCTAAATGTTGCCAGACTGCAGTTCGACTGGCCTCGGGTTGCGACAGGGAGGAATAATCTATCATAAGGAATCGGGACTGAGGATGCGGAGGGCGCTCTTCTGTGCGTATATGCTGCCGCTACTCGCGCGCCGCAGGCGTCTCGCATGCCCGAGGCGCCGCTCGCCAGGCCCCGCCCAGGGCCTGGCTGCCCCTCCATGGGGCTCGAAGGACCTTCCGACGCCGCCGGTTGCGATTAGGTGCGCGCTGACCGAGGATCCGCCCCTGCGCTGCTTCAGGGGCAACGCTCGGCGACTGCAGGGTGTGGTGGCGCCGGGGTGTGGCCTGCGATCTGCGTCGTCTGGGGCTTGGGAGGGCACCACGTTTCCTTGTCGGGCTGCCTCGGAGCGTGGCGGAGACTTCTGTCGAGGTCCTCGCCCCCCCCCCCACACCCCACGGCGCGGGGTGCAAGCCACACCCTTTGCACACCCTTCGGAGTCGCCGAAACGTTCGTTAGGGGGGCCTAGGCTCAGAGGGGGACGCGCGTCGTTCAACCTCTCTTCTCCTGGCTCATGCTCCTCCGCCTTCCTGGTTCCTCATCCTCCCCCATCCGTGGTCCATCTTGCCCCCCGTCCCTCCCTCCTCCTCTCCTCCTGCCTCCTTCCGCCTCATTCAGACTCTCTCCTTATGGCTTCTCATCCTCCGCCGCCTTCTCAGCGCTCCAGCCTGCCTCCTCCTCCTCCCTGTTCTCCCCCTCCTCCCTGCACTCGCCCAGCTCGAGTACAGCCCAGAACCCTCCCTCCTTCAAGGACGTATGAGGAGGAAGTTGGAGGAGAAGGAACGGAGGAGGAGGACGAGCGGATGCGGAGGAGGAGGAGGAGGAGGAGGAACAGGGTCAACCAGTGTTCTCGGGCCCTTCGCATACCGTGTAGAACGGACCTTCCACGACCTTCTTGGTCCCTCACCCATAGGTCCACCGTGTTCGGATGCTGGCCCGTCCACTGGCATTCTTGCTTCAGCTGGTTAGCCTGCCATGCTCACTGCACCACTTCTGCGTCTCCGCTGCCACTGCCTGGTCGCGCCGATCCCAGCATGGTAGCTGATGACGGCTTTCTGATGACGCTTATTGCCTGCTCGCATTGCCAGCCACCGCTGCCTCTGCCTGCCTGATCGCACTGCCAGCCAACGCTGCCACTGCTTGTCCTTTCGACCGCGCCGGCCCCATCATTGTAGACGAGAGCGCCTGCACTGCACTGCTGGCCACGGCTGCTACTGCCTGCCTTTTCGCTTGGCCTGCCATTGTCACCACGGCCTGCCTTGTCGAACGCGCTTCTTCCAGCGTTGTAGTTGAGGGTGCCAGCACTTTTCTCGCAATGCCAGGCTCCACTCCCACTGCCTGCCTTGTCGCACGCGCTGGCTCCAGCGTTGTAGCTGAGGGTGCATGCAGCCTTCTCGCATTGCCAGCCTCCCACTGCCTGCCGTGTCTCACTCGCTTGTCGCAACGTCGTAGCTGAGGGTGCTCACAACCTTCTCGCAATGCCAGCCTTCACTACGATCGTCTGCCACGTCGCACGCGCCGATCCCAGCGTTGTGTAGCTTAGGGTGCCTGCGACCCGCAATGCCAGCCTCCATTGCCACTGCCTGCCGTGTCGCACGCGCTGATCGCACCGTTGTAGCTGAGGGTGCCTGTAGTCTTCTCGCCGTTCCAGCCTCCACTGCATCTGCCTGG